CATTATATAATTAAGAATATTTATTCGATTTAATATAGAAATCATAAATTCAGTTTATTTTTTACAGATTTGGGATCTTGCATCCGGTACTTTAAGACTTACTTTAACTGGTCATATTTCTACCGTTCGCGGGTTAGCTGTCTCTCCACGTCACCCGTATTTGTTTTCATGTGGCGAAGATAAAATGGTGAAATGTTGGGATCTTGAACAAAATAAGGTTATCCGGCATTATCATGGGCACCTATCTGGTGTGTACTCTTTAAGTCTACATCCTACTTTGGATATTTTGGCGACTGCTGGAAGGGATGCTACTGCAAGAGTATTTATTGGTTTAAATAAATTGATTAATAATGATTAAATAAACTGATTAATAATGATATCAAAGCGTAATATTAACTCATGTAACTTTTTAGGTATGGGACATGCGTACGAAACAGTGTATTCACGTTCTCAGTGGCCACAACACTACTGTTGCTGACGTAAAATGTCAAGAAGCTGATCCTCAAGTTCTTACTGGCTCAATGGATTCAACAATTCGTCTTTGGGATCTTGCGGCTGGTAAGACATTGACGACGCTCACACATCACAAAAAGTCCGTTAGGGCATTGGCAATACATCCTACCGAATTTACCTTCGCCAGTGGTAGTGCGGATAACATTAAACAATGGAAATGTCCCGAAGGTACATTTATGCAAAATTTCGAAGGCCATCGTGCAATTATAAATGCATTGGCAGTCAATGCTGACAATGTTTTATTTTCTGGTGGTAAGTTTGACTGTATCACTATTATTTTTATTTCATTTAGCTCAGTTCACTCGTCAATTGACTTAAAACCAAAAATATTTTTTTAATAAAGCTGATAATGGTTCGATGGCATTTTGGGATTGGAGATCTGGATATAAGTACCAATCTATGGAAACAACTGTACAACCTGGTTCTTTAGAGTCTGAAGCCGGAATATTTGCCTGTACATTTGATCGTACAGGATTGAGATTAATAACGTGTGAAGCAGACAAAACTATTAAAATTTGGAAAGAAGATCCAAACGCAGTATGTATTATCGATGATTCATGTTTTCTATTAAATATTTCTGAGAAACTCACTAATAATACTTTATGTATATTTAAATATTTAAGACTCCTGAGACACACCCCATTGATTGGAAGCCGTCATTAATCAGAACCAGATTTTAATTATAAAACATTGACGTAGGGATGGTAAAGTGAGTCTAGGTTTGGTTTAGGTTTTAAAGCCTTTAGGTTCAAAATTAAAAACTTGAGAACCAAATGTTTATATTCCAAACTCAAACCTGGTTTGGTTCAGAACCAAAATTTAATACCTGGTTCTCCCCGAACACTAATCACAGAGGAAGATACTATAATAGGGGATGCTTACGTAGCTTCAATAAAGATTCTACCTAGAACAACACCTGTGTCTTTTTCAATTTTCTAAATAATGAACTATTGTGATTATACTATCATTTAAAACCAATTTATATTTAAATAACTTTTTTCAATATATCAAAATAGTCATTATCGCAGTTCAATAGGTATTTTTAACTTTAAAAAGGCGATGCCAGTTTAAATACTTTATTAAATAAAGGAATTGCTTAATTAATTATATTAATGTATTTGTTTGTTTTGCTGAATAAGTAATTTATTGTGAAATCTGTGTTGAGGAAAGTCAGAATCATACAACTGAAACAAGTATATATACACGAATACGTGAGAGTGAAAACCTGTAACCAATCATTAAATCTATTTCCAGGTTTTTACTCTCACGCACTCATATATCTGTGAATAATAACAGGATAATAGGATAATAGCTAACTTATTATAGACAAATTGCAAATTTTTTTTTTTGGACAAAAGCAGTTTTTAGATTAAGTTTTGAAATGCAGATAATTTTTCTAAGATGCGTTTTACGATCATATTAATCATGACTATTAAAAGTAACTCAAATCTATTATGCATAAGCTATTGTGATTTGGTTTTAGTTAAAACTAATTTAATAAAGTTACAAGAACTAAGCTGATTTTGTATAAATTTAGATATAAATATGAAGCACGTATGTATACAGTATATACGTATTAATATACATATATTTTAATTTAGTATGTTATAAACAGGGACAGTGATTTTATGTGTTTCACATAATACCACAGAATTCACATAAATATGCCTATATCACATAATATGATGT